TGGCCACACAGAAACACAATCCTTGGCTGTAACTAAACGTGGAATCCTCCCCCTATGCCTCATGGCTGCCTCCTGCTGGAGGCTGCCACAAGCAGCCGAGGACCTGAGAGCCCCAAGGCCGCGTGTTGGCTCCTTTGCCACCCCCCCGACACCAGGGCATGAAACCCGAGGCCACCGTGCAAAGTGGGTTTGCCAAAGCCCCCAGTGACGTGTGCTGCTGGACACTGCCACAGCAGTGTCCCCTGGAGGGGCCAGCATGCACCTGGGGTTTGAACTGAGCCAGGCTCCAGGCACGTCCCCCCGGGAGCCAGACACGGTTCCACCCCCTACGGCAGCCCGTGGGATGAGCATTGGCACTCTCAGCTAGGCAGAGGGGCCAGCACTGCACCAGGCCTGGCTAGACCCCCCCCCCAACATTCACATCCAGCCCCCACCCCTCCAGCCCAGCGTCCCACCCAGAGCAGGCCGGGGGTGAGAGGACGGAGCAGTTCCCCCTCCTCCAGGCTGCTCAGAGCAACCCCCAGCTGTGTCCTGGCCGGTGCCTCCAGGGGACCAGCCCAGCCCAGCCCCAGGAGAGAGACCCAGCCGTGTGGAGCCAGCACTGAGCTTTATTGGGGTCAGCTGCCGTCTGCAACTCTTTGGCCCCAGCCCCCCCTCCCCACAGCCACACTCAGGCGCCCGGGGCCTGGCACTGGGGCGTGGCTGACGCCAGCAGCAGGAGATGCCCACGCCCCGCCACAGGTGCCCCATAAGACCCCTGCTCAGAGAGCAGAGCCAGGAAGGGGTAGCGGGGCACAGGGGGCAGCGTTTGTCTCCTCTTGGCCCAGCGGGGGAATCGGCCCCAGCCACACGGGACATTGTCCATTCTGAGTCCAGCCAGGTGCTGTCGCTGACAGCTCAGGACGTCTTCCCCTTGCTAGCTGGGCGCCGGGGTCGCCTCCCCATGTACTGGAAGCTCCGCAGAGGGTTGCGCCCCCCCCGGGCCTAGGAGAGAAGCAGCGGGGGTTAGGGGCAGCAGTTGGGAGGGCTCCACCTCCCTCCCCCCACCGGCTGCCTCCCCTGCATTGGGGCCCCATACCCAGGCAATGCAGTGGGGCTGGCTCCCCAGTGACCCCTGCTGGCCGGATGCGGCTCTGCCTCCCTGGATCAAGAAGAACGTGGGCTGTTGCGACCCACTGGCTCCCAGAATCTCCTGCTGTCTTGGGTCCCCCCGAATACTCCCCCACCCCCTACAATGTGGGTCTGACCCCCCCCCCCCGTCCAGCACATGGTGGTGCCAGCTACCGAGCCCCTAGGATAAGGCCCCCTGGGGCTGGGTGGGCACCATCACAGCCCCTCCCCCTCCTGGGCCCTCTGCCATGCTGGGGACCGGAGGCTTTGTGGGGAACCCCCCCTCCAGCCATCACGCCCCCTCCAGCCATCAGTGCTCTGGGGTTCGGGGAGGAGCCCAGCCCAGACACCCACCTGGAAGCCCCCCCTGGGGCGGCGGCTGCTGGGGGCCAAGTGTTTCCGTCGCTTGCGCTTGTTGAGCAGGGGCTGGGCAATGGCGCGCAGGGTGGGGGGCACTGCCGGGGGAGAAGACAGGTCAGGAGCTGCGGCTGGCGCTGGCTGGGCCCTGAACCTGGGACTCCCTGCCCCACCCAGCGAGGCCAGGACAGAGCTGGGAGAACCCAACACCCTGGATATCCCTGCTGCAGGGCCAGGCCCCCCCCAATCCTGCCCCAAACTGACAGGAGACTGTGCCCTGGGGCTAACAGCCCCTGCGCCCCACCCCATATGGGCTGCGACTCGGTGACTGGTCCCTGTATAACCAGCTCCCATGCCCCACCCCAGAGGAGCCGGGTCTCAGTGCCGGGTAAGGGGTCACTGTATAACCAGCCCCCGAACCCTGCCCCACAGAAGCGCATCTCAGCGCCGGATAAGGGGGCTCTATAAAGGGTCTGGAGGACCTTTGGGATCATGCTGGGTGAAAGGCGCTAGAGAGGCAACAAGGGACCCCAGAAGTGCCCCTGTCCCTGCTCCCCTCCCCCCCCCCCATCTGGAAACCTGCGAGCCCAGCCCTGGCGGGTGGCACTGACCCAGGTACTCAGGCACGTTGCGCAGGTGCGGTTTGACGATGGCCGGGTGCAGGGGCCGGTCGTGGCGCAGCAGCCGCAGGTCGTGGGGATTGTCCTCGAAGTACGTCTGGGGGGAGGGTGAGGGTTGAGCCCAGACCCAGCTGCAGAGAGACAGGGCCCCTCTGAACTGCCCCCCACCAGCCTGCCCCGTGCCCCCTGCCCAGAGCCCATCATGCGAGTCAGTGCCCCCCCAAGGGTTCCATGCCCCCCCGCAGCTCACCCCGCCCCCGGGGTTCCGTGCCCCCAGCCCCCACAAGCCCCCAGTGCCTGTTCCCTTCAGCAGGAGTCAGGCTCTGGCCCTGCCCCACCCCATGTGGGGCCAGGTGCCCACCCCCCAGGCCAGAGACAAGGCCATGCCTAGGCATGCCCCACTGCAGCCAGCCCGTGTGTGCGCACTGGGGAGCCAATCCCCCAGGGCAGTAGGGTTCACTCCCTGCAGAGGGAGGGGCCGCACTCAGCTTCGTTCCCAGCCCCCTCACTGCTGCCCCCCACCTTCAGCTTCTCTGAGTTGAGTAGCTCCTCCTTGATCTCCCGCAGCCGCGCCTCCTTGATGGCCTGCTTGGTGACGGAGCGCATGGCATCCTGGGGGGGGGGGGGGGGGGGGGGGGAGGAGAGAGAGAGGTTAGAGCCCCCTGCACAGACAGGGCCAGAACTCGGCCCCCCAGGCCCCAGCACGTCCCTCTCCCATGGCTCCTGCCCTCCGGTGGGACTTCAACCCCATAGGCCCTGGCAACTCCCCCAACCCCCCAGGGCCTGGCACTTGCTCCAAGCACCCCCGCTCTGGGCAAGCTGCCTTGGGCCCCACTGTCCCTTCCCCAGCGCTGTATGGGGAGGGTCCCCCAGATGCTGGGGACCCAGGGGGAGGGAAGGGGTGTTTCCCACCCGGCCCCTGGCTACTTGGCAGGCTGGGCGCTGTTTTGGGTTGGTGGCTTTGCCCGTGCCCATCTCCCGCCCGCCCCCCTCCACTGACCCGGCATCTGTAGCGGAGCCCCTCGACTTCCTCCATCCGGAACTGATAGGGGCGCAGCACAGGCTCGGTGCTCTCTGTGGGGACAGAAGGGGCCTGTCAGGACCAGGGACCTCGGCACCATGGCCCAGGACGGGACCCGCAGCCCCCACATCCTGAGGAGTGGGGGCGGGGCTGGGGCAGGACACAACCTGTGCAGGAGATACAGGGAACCCCCCCTCCCACCCAGCCCCCACCAGACTGGCTGTGCCTTCCCCAAGAATGGCTCAAACCCTTTCCCAGCCAGGCAGCCAGTCGAGCCATGTGCCCAGATCTCCCCACCCCCATAGGACCCCAACCCCAGCACTCACTGACCTCCTGCGAGAGCCTCCTCAATCTCGGCCAGCAGGGGGCACTCTGGGTGTGTCACGAAAGTCAGGGCTGTGCCGGGGTTGTCAGCACGGGCCGTCCTGCAGGGGGCAGAGGGGAGAGCGTTGGGGGCAGGCGGGATTGGCAGAGGGCGTTCAGGACCCAGCAGCTTCCACCTGCCCTGCTGCGCAGAGGAGCCCTACCGCCCGCCCTGCCCCCCAGACCCATGGGTGGGCAATCGGCCCCAGGGGCTGGGACCCGGCCGTGGAAGGTACCGAGGCCAGGCGAGGGCTGTGCCCTCCCCATGGCACTGTCCCGGATTGGGCCTGATTAGCTGGGTGTCCTGGCCTCGCCGATGGGATGGGGCAGGGCCTGGGTCACAGGAGACAGCCCCAGGGACTTCAAGAGGCCTCAGCGCTGGCTCCCAGCTCCATGGGCCCCCCTGATGTCCCCCCAGCCCCACCTGACCCGAGAGCCTAGAGACAGAACCCCCTGACTTAGGGGCTGCTGCTGGCGTGGCCCCAGCAAGCTCGGTGCCAGCCAGGTGCCTTACACACACGGGCACTGCAGGGAGAGCCAGAGGAGCCCAGCCTGGTGCCTCTGGCTGGAGACCCAGCCATGAGGCAGTGCCCCTTGGGGACACCCTGGGGCTCCACAGCCAGCCAGCTGGGTGCTACCAGCCCATATGGACCAGAGCAGAACCTCCCACCCCACCCCGCAGCCCGAGCCCCTACCTGCCCGCCCGGTGGATGTAGGACTCGACTGAGGGCGGCGGGTCGAAGTTGATGATGGTGGCGACATTCTGGAAGTCGATGCCCCGTGCCACGCCGTACTCTGGGTCTTTGCCCCTGCAGGGGAAGGGGAAGGGGACCTCAGGGCACAGCCAAACCCACCAGCCTGAGCCCCAGCCAGCCAAACCAGAGACCCAGGAGAACAGCCAGCGCTGCCAGTGCAGGACAGCTCCCTAGAGCTCTTCTTCCAGGGCAGGGCTGGGATCGCAGGGAGCGAGGGGCCCCAGCAGAGCTGGGGGGC